ATGCAACTTTAAACGGTTAAATGAGGCGACAATCGTTCCCGTTTCCCCCATGCCCTTAGTCAGCGATCTCATAGCGGCGCTGGGAGGGAGCAAGGCTTCTCGGTCCTCGACCTGCTGAGCGGGTACTTTCAAGCTGCCATCGACGAGTTGAACATCCCCCTGACGGCTGTCTGCACTTCATTCGGGTTGTTCGAATGGACCCGGACTCCACAGGGATGCTCCGGGAGCCCGGTGAACTGCCAGTCGCTGATGGCTAAGGTGTGTGATGGGTTGAAAAGGATTCAAGTGTATCTAGACGACGTGATTGTGCCGTCCCTCACGGCCGCTGAGCACTTGGTGCAGTTGAAGGAGTTGTTGGTGCGGTTCACGGAGTTTGAACTCAAGCTGTCCCCCAAGAAGGCCCACATCGGCTCGGCCGAGGTTACGTTTCTGGGGCATTTGATAACCCCTTTTGGCTTGCACCCCGATCCTAAAAAGACAGACGCAATGGCCAAGATGAAAATGCCCAAGACTAAGAGTGAATTAAGGTCCATGTTAGGTTCGGTGTCGTACCTTCGAAAATTTCGCCCCAATTTAGCGAGGAATATCACGGACCTGACCGCCCTTCTCCAGAAGGCCGCACACTTCAAGTTTACGGCACACCATGAACAGCTGACCAAAGCGGTGTTGGCCCAGCTAACAAGTTACGAGGTGTTGGCTTTCCCCGACTATGCCGCCGCCATCGATGGCACTCGTAAATTTCGACTCACGACCGATGCCAGTATCTCTGGTTCTGGTGCGGTACTGGAACAACCGCGAGACGATGGGACCGTCCGTCCTCTAGTGTACATTAGTAGATCGACCCTACCGAACGAAGCGAATTGGGATGTCAGCTCGCTGGAGTGTGGAGCGTTGGTGTGGGCCATTAGGAAATTGCGTGTTTATTTATATGGCATTCCATTTGAAGCATTCACCGACCACCAGCCGCTTCTATCTTTTATTTCTATGGGTGAAAAGAAACCACGTGTTCAACACATGTGTGATTTCTTAACGGCGTACTCGTTCACCCTGTCCTATCGCAAGGGCAAAGATAACCAAGTTGCGGATGCTTTGTCCCGTCTACCACAGCCGCCCACGGCAGACGATTTTGACAAATGCAAATCGATAGAGGACGGAGACCTCGAAGTTTGCTTTATTGGGTCTAGCAGAAGAGCGACGCGGAAGCTAGGCTCCGACTCAGATGCATTCATTGGTGGCCCGACCGAGAACCGTTATATGAGACCAGTAACGTTGTGTACCACGGAGGAGGTTGAGGCTCGTGAGTGGGCTGGCGTTCAGTCGGAGTTGACTAGGATATCTCTTCACCGTCCGAGCCCATCGGTTCTAGCCATTAACCCATCGCCCTCCCGCCCTCCCCACTGCCCTAATAGCCCGGTGTCTTCCGTCGGTCTGCAACCGTTCAGTGGACAGTATCAGCCGGGGCTAATACTCCATGGGCATCCGATCGGCGCCACAGCAACCGAGAGGGACGTTGCGGGCCTCCTGGTGGATGTAGGGGTGATCACCAGGTCGTCGCGCCCATCGACACGGTCCACCACGGCGGTGGCAGCGCGGAGGCCGCGTCGGGCGCGGGATGTAGGGGTTGAGGAATCGCCGACACTGGGGAGGGTGGCCACCGCCCACGGGGACGCGGCGTTGGCGCCGGCGGGGAGCCGCCCCTCCCGCCCGCAGGGAACACCGGCGGCGCGCACACCGGCGGCGAGGGAGAGGGGGGCACATCCGTCGGCAGTGGGGTGCAAGCAACTGTCGCGGCACCCCCCCGCCCAGCGCAGGACGGCAACGGCGGCCGCGAGAGAGGAACGACCGCACGCCGACGACCCCGCCGCCGTTCCCACTACAACAGCCCCCGGCCAGCGAAGAACGGCAGCGGCGGCCGCGAGAGAGGCACAACAGCACGCCGACGACCCCGAGAGAGGCACAACAGCACGCCGACGACCCCGCCGCCGCCCCCACCTCAACAGCCCCTGGTCAGCAAAGGGCAGCAGCGGCGGCCGTGAGAACCGCGCGACAGCACGCAGACGACTCCGCAGACAATCCCACCACGACACAGCCCGGCCAGCGGAGGACGGCCGCGGCGGCCGCAACAGAGGCAAGACGACACCCCAACGATCCTGCAGCCGCCGCACCAACTGCGCGCCCCCCTCCAAGTCGCGGACGCCGGTAACCATCACCGCGGCGCTCCCGGAGTAGAACACCTCGGCGGCGTGCCCCCCCGGCGGGAGCAATTTTGGTGCCAGAATTTCAAGCGGCAGCAGCTAGCCGCTTCGGGGAGAGGTTTAACCGCAAGACGGACCTCGAGTGGGCCGCGGCGCACGCAGATGATCTCCTGGCTGCGGCGGTGATCAAGTATGTTTCTGGTTTGAGTGAGGGGGGAGACTATGAGTTTACATCCGTGATGGGCAATGAGAGAGAAATTGATTTGGCTCGAGTGAAGGCTGTGGCTAGTAAGTGTGAAGTGCTGTGGCTGCCTGACAATTCGGCCCTGTTGGTACGGAAACCCACCGAAAAACACCGTCGGATGGCAGACCAGAACAGTGGAAAGTTTGAGAGGTTGTTAGGGGATGAACCCCATCGGGTGTACGTACCTTTTCTGTTGAGACCATGGGCCCTGGACGTGGTACACAAGGAGAGTGGGCATTTGGGGGGAAACGCAACTCTGGCTTCCTTGGAGCGTTACTACTTTTGGATTGGTATGTCTGAAAGCGTGCGGTGGTTTGTGTCACATTGCATACAGTGCCAAGCTTCCAAAACCTCTAGACGTGCTCACCGCTGGCCTCTGGTGTCGTTACCGCTGCCTTCCCGGCCTGGGGAGATGGTGGCTTTCGACATCCTAGGTCCCTTGCCAAAAACTAAGCGGGGGAACATGTATATTCTGTTGGTGGTCGATCTTTTTAGCCGACATGTCGAACCCTACGCGTTGACGAGTGAAGAGAAAACAGCACAGGGTTGTGCCACGAAGCTTGCGGATGATTGTGTCGTTCGATGGGGTTGTCCGAAGTATCTTTTGTCGGATAGAGGAGCAGAGTTCACAGCTCGGGTAGCCAAGGATGTATACAGGATGCTGGGGGCCAAGAAGCGGTTCACGAGTTCTTCTCATCCGCACACCAACGGTTGTGTTGAACGTCTGAATCACACCGTTTGTCAGATGTTGTCTCACGTCGTCTGTTCTCAGCAGACGGATTGGGATGAATACCTGTTGCAAGTCTGTTACTGCCACAACAACCACGTAAGCAAAGCCACTGGTCTAGCCGCTTCTGAGATTCACATAGGGAGGTACCCGCGGTTGCCGATGACGATACTGGGGCCTAGGAATGAGATCAGGGGGTGGCAGAGTACCAAGCAGGACCAGCTCGACTACTTGCATTTGACTAAAGACCGACAGGCTAGGGCCTACCAACTAGTGGTGGAGAGTGACAGGCTAACGAAGGAGAAGCATCGAGCCAACAACGAGCAGCTAGATAACGCTATCACCAAGCGACCAAATTTCTCCGCTGGGGGGTGGGTATGGGTGTACGATTTGCAGCATACGTTGACAACGGCAGGGGGGAGTACTCAACAGCGAATAAAGGGCAAGTTGGCGAACAAGTGGGTGGGTCCTTTTAAGGTGTTGGGAGTGGGTCCGTGCAAGGTGGAGAATCATGTATTACGGTGGAACACAATAATCAAGACCAAATTGGGCACTTCGCGTTCTATCTCAAAAAATTATTTTTTTCTGTCAAAATGCTCTCTCCCGCGAAGTTGATAGAAAAACACACACTCGTTTGCAACTTTTGCACGCAATAATTGAGCAACACACACTGGGTGGGTTCAACAGAAAGCCTATTACATCAGCTGTCGAATGGCGCTGGTTTCATGCCCATCGAACAGTCACAGCACGAAGTGAACGGCGCCAAAAGCAGGCACTTCATGGCAGCAATTTTCAAGCGGGCATAGACTTGTTGCGGTTCGGGAAAATCAAATTAGGTTCTAATATAGAACCTGACGCAAACTGCTCAACATGGCGCGCACAACGCCAAAAAAAAAATTGAATTTGAACCGGCCGTTGTAGAGCAACTCGCCGTCCACGCCAGGCACCTGGCCAATCCAGCACCCACCATAACCAAGCGTGGTAGACGGGTACCGACAGGCGGAACCAGTGGCCGTCCACCTAAAGCGATCAAGGGGGCCAACGCTGCGGCCGAGAGAAATGCAAAGGCTATGAACAAGCTCCTGGATGATACGGAGAAGAGAGAGGCGGCCACCGCCGCTGCCGAAGCAGCTCTCGCGGCCAAGGAAAAAGAGGTGAAGGCCATGAAGGCGTCAGTGGCCAGGGATCGGGAGAAGCTCGCGCGGGACATCGCGAAGTCAGACGTGCTTCAACAGCAACGTGAACGGCGAGAGCAGGATCGTGTCAGCAAGGCTGCTGAAGCGGCGACTTCCAAGCTTCCCCCTCTCGCGCTGAAGTTTGTCGAGGACTCTGTGCAATCACTGAGGCCCAAGACTGGCGAGCTCACCACCCTGCAGCAGTCGCGGATTATTCTCATGCTGTACTTCGACCTGGTGAAAGGAGGCAGCTCTGAGAACCACGCAAAGGAGCAGGTGAGAGCCAAGAAACATGGCTGTTGCGTACAAATTCCAGTATAAAGACGCATGTCGTTGTTACGTTTTTACAGCAGTACAGCAGTGCCATGTACTTTTTTGGTACAAATGTAGACTATACATGCATATACATACATCCCACCCAAGATTATTGTACAAGCAACAACAGTGCTTGACATCATGCCAGTAACGCTGCCGGCCCATATCGTCGCGTTGCTTGCACTGCTGTACTGATGCCCATTACTGCTGTACAATACTTGAGTGGTATGTATAACGGTATGCTGCCAGCTGTACAGTAGTGTATCAGTACAGCAGTTACAGCAGCGCTTTGTACCGCTGAATGTAAAGGAATGTATGTGCATGGCATCACCATTATCCTCGCGTGCGCTGTACGTTGTCTACGCTCTGCCGTCCCTTTAACACCGGCTTTCGTACACCAACGCAATACACTGCAACGCAATACACTGCTGTATTCTTACAAACTTTTTCCCACCCTCCCTCTGTGTGGATGACCCATCTTTATCAGGTCGCGAAGACCTTGAGGATCGGTACGGACAAGGTCCTGGCGGTTCGCACACTCTGGTATGACAAGCAGGAGTTGTACGAGACCAACGGGAAGGGGCGAGGCAAGGCCACCAGCGTCGACGACGGGCGACGTGTCATCACCAAGGAGCAAGAGGATGGACTGCGCGAGTTCATCAAGGGCGAGCACGAGGCGGGACGTCAGGTCTTCCGCCGTACCGTCAAGGATTACTTGGAGTGTTCGTTCGGATTAGAGATGTCGAATCGTGCCGTGGGAGGGTTGCTGCAGCGCCTTGGCTTCAAGCGCCGTAGGGGTAGGATCAAAATACCCCCGTTGAACGAGGAGAGGAAAAACCGCATCCGCCTCTTCCTTGTTAAGATGGACCTCGCGAAGAGGGCCGAGGACGCTGGGATCGCAGTCATTGTGTACATGGATGAGAGCTTTGTTCACCAGGCGCATGGTTCCGCGTACTCGTACTTTCCTTCTGACGATAAAGGTATTGTGCAGGATGGGATAGGCCGTACAACGGGGAAAGGTTTGCGTATGATCATGGTGCATGCGATCACGGAGCACGGGCCCTTGGCCGAGCTACAGGAGGGATTTCCTATCCGTGAGGGTTGGTTCAAGGCTAAGGAAAATCGTGCGAAGAAGATTAAGCCTGGGGAGGCGGATTTCGAAATGTCAGATGAGCAGACAGCAGAATTTCTGTGGCAGGCCAAGTTGGCAACCGGAGATTATCATAACGCCATGACGGATGGGATGTTCATGCAGTGGTTGAAGCACCGACTTACCCCGGCCTTCGATGCGCAGTTCAAGAACAAGAAGATGTTTCTCGTTCTCGATAACGCCTCATACCACCACTGCTTTGACGAGGAGGTTAAGGTGCCCGAAACCAACAGTAAGAAGTACAACGTCGAACTCTTGCGCAAGTACGGTTGCACGTCGTTCAAGGTGACGCGTGAGTCGGAGGGTAAGGCTGCTGAGTACAACTTTGAGGTCCCGGCGCAGGGGTCGCTACCCAATGCGAACCGCAACGGCGTCAGCAAAGAAGAGATAGCCTCCGTCACTCGGACGTACTTCAAAAAGAATTTTCCACAAAAGCTCGAGGAAAAGGCTGAGACGTACATGAGGGAGAAGGGGTGGGGGTTAATTTGGACACCGCCGTACATGCCGACTTTCCAGCCGATCGAGCTGTTCTGGCAGCACGGCAAGCATTACGTGAGCATNACACCGCCGTACATGCCGACTTTCCAGCCGATTAAACTGTGCTGGCAGCACGGCAAGCATTACGTGAGCATTCATTTTGAGAAGGGGCGAAACGTGTTGGATGTCTGGAAGAAAATCCGTCTCGGTTGGTATGGAGACCCGGAATGGGACGGTCAGGAGCGGGGGTGGAAGGCAGCCAACTGTGGAAAGTTGGTGCAGCATGCCATTGGCAAGATGGACGAGTGGATCGGCCTGTATGGTGGAAACCTGAGCGGTACGATCGGTAGCCTTGAGTATCCAGTGGCAGAGTACCAAGAGGCTACGGCCGAGGATGAGATAGAGGATGGGGTGGAGGAGCAGACGGATGAGTGGCTGGGTGAGGACGCGGAAGATGCCATTGAGGGCTGAAAAAAATGCCAAAAAAAAATGCCAAAAACAAATGCCCTTTTCTGGGCCAATATTTTTCGACTTTGATTCCCGAACAGCGACACGAAGGGGCTGCACAGAAGGCGCC